CTATTCCTTTCTCCCCCACCTCAAGTGTCTATTTCATAATGGTAGGCAAGGGAAACCAAGATTCAAAAGACAGCCAAGTATGTTAACATTATTCCTCTTTTACCCTTTCAAACCATGCCTCAGTCCCTGCATCCCGAAGCCCTGCCATTCCAAGGTAGTGCACACATCATCATTCATCTCTGTCCCACTTAGCCCATGCAAATCTGCCCAACTGTTCTCCCATTCGCCTTGTTCTTCCATTCCCTTCTCCCTTCTTGTATACTAGCCCGCCCTCCCCCGCCCCCAGCACCCAAGCCATCTGTGTCTATTCCCTACGGTGTGCTCTATCTTTCCCTCCCACCCTCCCCTCCTTTCATCCCATACATTCCAGTGATCAGCAATTATATATATATAAACCGACTCGACGGCACTTAACAGCAACAACAAATATATATATGTATATATATATATTCCCCTCTTTTAGGGTGGGTTCTTTTTTCAAGTCTTTTATCATAATGATCCTATGCAGCATCTCTCCTTTTGTGACTGACCAACTTCACTCATAATGTCCTCAAAGTTCATCCATGTTATGTGATGGCTTAGAGCTCCCTTGTTGTTCTTCAAGGTAGCATAATATTCCATTGTGTGTACATACCACAGTCTGTCCATCTATTCCTCAGTTGATGGGCACTTAGGCTGTCTCCGACTTTTTGTTATTGTAAATAGTGCTGCTATAAACATTGGTGTGCATAATTTGTGTATGGCTTGTATTTCTTGTGGGTAAATACCAAGTAGAGGAATTGCTAGATCATAAGCTATTTCTATTTCCAACCTTCTGAGGAAGTCCCATATTGCTTTCCAGAGTGGTTGGACCATTCTGCAATCCCACCAAGAGTGTAGGAGGGTCCCAGTCTCTCCTCATCCTCACCAGCATTTACTGTCCTCTGCTTCTCTGATCTTTGCCGTCATTGTTCGTGTGAGATGATATCTCATTGTTGTTTTGATTTGCATCACTCTGATGGCCAGTGATTGTCAACACGTCTTTGTATGTTTGTTGGATGCCCAGATCTCCTCCTTGGTGAAGTGTGTGTTCATGTCCTGTGCCAATCCTTCAATTGGGTTAATTGTCTTTTTCTTGTAGAGGTGCTGTAGTTTCCTACATATTTTAGAAATGAGTCCCTTATGTGATGTGTTATTGTTGTTGTTGTTAAGTACCATGGAGTCGGTTCCGACTCATAGTGACCCTGCACACGATTTCCGAGGCTGTAAATCTTTACGGGAACAGAACGACTCACCTTTCTCCCAATTAACCGCTGGTAGTTTCTAACTGCTGACCTTGAGGTTGGCAGCCCGACTTGTAACCACTACGCTACCAGAGCTCCTGTAGCTGAAAAATAATTTTTTCCCATTCTGTGGATTCCCTTTTTACTCTTTTGGTGAAGGCTTTTGATGCACATAAGTTTTTAATTTTTAGTATGTCCCAATCATCTATTTTGTCTACTTTTGTTTGTGTAATTTTCACAATGTTTGGTAGTCTGTGTAGGCCCTGAACCAGAGCCCTCACATTTGTCCCTATTTTTCATTGATGAACTTCACAATGACATAATGACAGCTCTTCTCTGAATGTTTGGTAAAACTCACCAATGAAGCCATCTGGGCCTGAACTTCTTTTGGTTGGGAATTTTTTGATGACCTCATCAGTTTCTTCTATTGTTATGGGTTGGTTCAAATTTTCTACTTCACTCTGTGTAAGTTTTGGTGGTTGTGTTTTTCTAAAAATGCATCCACCTCTTCTAAGTTTTCGAATTTGTTAGAGTACAACTCTTCATAGTTTTCTGTTATTATCCTTTTGATTTCGTTTGGTTCTATTGTGACATTGCCCATGTGGTTTCTAATGCGAGTTATTTATGTCTTCTCGCTCTTTTCTTTTGTTAGGTTTGCAAATGGTTCTGTCAATTTTATTAATCCTTTCAAAGAACAAGCTTCTTGTCCTGTTGATTCTTGCTATAGTTTTTTCTCTTTTCCATCTCATTTATTTGCTCTTATATTTATGATTTCTTTTCTTTTGGTGACTGTAGGTTCCCTCTGTTTGTCTGTTTCTAATTGTTGGAGATGCTGTGTTAATGTGTTAATTTAGGTTCTTTCATCTTTTTGGATGTGTGCATTTATCGCAATAAATTGTCCTCTCTGCACCACTTTTGCTGTGTCCCGAAGATTTTTGTATGTTGTGTTTTCATTCTCATTTGTTTCTAGGAACTTTGTGAATTCACATTTAATTTATTTTACCCAGTTGCTTTTCAGCAGGGTGTTATTCAGTTTCCATGTATTTGACTTTATTTCCTTGGTCTTCTTATTGTTGATTTCTAGTTTTATAACATTGTGGTCTGAAAAGATGTAGTATTTTCATGTTTCTAAATTTATGGAGGCTTGTTTTGTTACCTAACACATGGTCAATTCTGGAGAATGTTCCATGTGCACTGGAGAAGAATGTATATTGTGCTGTTGTTGGGTTGAATGCTCTGTACACATGTATCAGGTCAAGTTGGTTGATAGCCATTGCTTTTTAATCGGCTTAAATGGGCTTGTTTGTTTTCCACTTTTCTGTTATTGAAATAAAAGTGGAAATCTGCTTTCCAAGACCAGCCTATCAGCTGCTCCTTCCCTGGCTCCCTGACCTTCAAGCACTGCAGCTGCCTGCTCTGAGTTAAATATGGACTGTAAAGCTGGCTTTAATTTCTGTAGCTCTGTTTCTGAATATCCTCCCACTGATCTGTTTATCACACCCTCTTTAACCCTTCTGTTGTTGTTTTTCTCTCTAAGGGTTTTTAGCCCTGGACAGCTGAAAGCTGTCTTTCAGATTCCTAACCTGTAGATCTTTGCTATGTGGAATCTGAAAGAACCAGAAAGCCAAGACTAGAAATGTCTACAGTCAGGGGCAGATTACCCAATAAGGAAATCCATGTGAAAGTGTCCACTACCGATTAATAATAAGCCCAAGTAAGCACGTATTTGGAGTCCTGGTATGGCGCTGTGGGTTAATGTGCTGGATTGCAAAGTTTATATGAACTGCAAGGTTGATGGTTCAAACTCACCAGCTGCTCCTCAGAAACCCTATCTGGTCGCTATGGATCAGAACTGACTAGATGACACATAACAACAACAAGAAGCAAGTATTTACCTTGTTTACTGAATACTCTGTTCTAGCTAGGGACTGTAAATTTGAAAAGAGGTTTATCATTCTGTAGTAAGGTACTAAGATGTCTGTCATGCTTGATGCAGTTGGGGAAAAAAAAAAAAAAAAAAAAAGACATTGTTTATTACCAATCAGTAAATAAGCACAAGTAAGCCTGTGCTTGCCTTGCTTATTGGTTAATCCAAAAGTGTTCTACTTGTAAAAAGTCTTCGTCCTCTAGACATCACCATATTTTCATGTCTCATCAACAACCTGATCTATCCTTGGTCTGTGGGAATGCCTACTCAGAACAGATCATTTCTTAATGGTACACCAACGAGTGAAAAGAATGGTTAGTAATTTGGGAAGAAAAAATAATCTTTGGCTTCTGGTTTATGGATTGTGTGAATATGCTGATTCTTTCCACAGCTCTTTTGTGGCCCTATGAGTTTATATTCAGGAGTACAAATCAAACCTGGAAGGGATTATCTCTTGTGAGATATAAAACTCTGTTATGTTCATTCCCCAAACTCCTTTTAAGACGGCTTATGCAGAAGTTCCTTCCTCTAAAACAGCTTCTGTGTCTGGTGACAATTGCTCCCAGGAAGTTCTTAAGTGGAAGAAGCAGCTAAAATCCCACTTAAGATTTTGCTGAATTACTTGGCACCCCCACCCTCCATCTATGCTCTCCTGCTCTGGGGCCAGGTCTAATTAGAAGAGTGCCGCCAGGCTGACTCTTGTAGTGGAGAAAACTCATTAGTCATAGATTCTGGGGTGTTCCAGAGTATAGTGGGTGATGATGACCCTTCCTAAATGTTTGCGAGCCTTCCATGCAGGACAAGAAAGCTAGAACTCACCGCATGCAGGAGGAGAATACAGAAATCCAGGGGCGCAGTGAGTCTACTGGGCAAGAGGCCCGAATTAATTAGATAAGTGGCTGGCGTTGAACATCCAAACAGATGTAAGCAATATATTGGAAACGATGCAGCAAAGCCTCAGGTCGTAGTAAAAAACAAAGGGAGTAAAGCTTCAAACTACCCGGACTGCATTTTAGCTAGAACATTGTGGACACTGAGAGTTGTGTTAAGGGAGAGCTCAGGAGGCGGGATAGCACCAAATAACCCAAATCGGTGGTGGAGAACAGGTGGTCAGTCTTGGACAAGTTGTTCACCCAGAATTGTTGTCAGGATGATCCTTGGTCTGCCCAAGAAATAGCAAGTGTCACACCTACACAGAGGTCATCCTCAAATTCCAGATATTCCCTTGGGCCTCTCCAAGTGCTGGGGTTGAAAGGCTACCCTGCCAGGGTGGGCGGGGCGGGGCGGGGCGGTGCTGGTGGGCGGGCCAGACAGGGTGCGGAGGCTGGACCTATAAAGAGCTTGTTGACCTAGCCCGATGCTGCTCTGTGGAGTTAGTGCTGGGCGGGCAAGGGAGAACAGAGCGCTGTTAGCTGCTTGGTTCTGCAAAGCATTGACCCTCTGGTGGAAGGAGCTACTGAAGAGGGAACCAGCTTCTATTTACCCTACTGCTCTGTCAGCGAGTGCATAGGCCCCAGCACTTGCCCCAGCGAAATCCCTACAGGTGAGCTACACCGTGGCCTTGGTTTTGGTGGGGAAGGAGGGGGCGTTCTCTCTGTTGGGGGCTCAGAGGGCGAACTCCCGGGCACAAGTTTCTATCAAGTTTTGTTAACTTTTAAGTTGTTTGAGGTTGTGGCTGTAGCTGGGCTTACCTTTCCCCGGGCTTTCTAAACTTTCATTGCAGAGGCAGGGATCACCCCTTTTTGGGAAATGAGTGCCTCGGCATTTTAGGAGCTTCTGTTTGTTTTACTTTCTCGCTTTCTCTTTTCCGCTCCGCCAGGGAAACAGCCGTTGACCATGGTTGCAACCGGCAGTTTGAGCAGTAAGAACTCGGCCAGTATTTCCGAGTTGCCGGACAATGGCTTCCACTCAGGAAGCCTGCTAAGTGGTGAGTTTCTCAGCTCCCCCATCTCTGTCTCCTCTCTGGTGCATCCCCTTCCTGGATAGGTTAAGTGGGCGTACAGCTTCACCCCCTGTTCAGTGTAGAGAATGCCACAAATTCTATGGAAGAGACCCTTTCCAAATTTTCTGTGATTCTGAACTCATCTGCTGCTAATAGATGAGATTAATTTCTAATCTTTGGAATTAAAAATTATAAAGATTCCTTTTCTATATAGTTGTGAAGTTATGGTGACTTTTGAGTGTACAATCATGTATGTTTTAATAAATATATTTGCATGAATAACGACCACCATCATTTTCCCCAAAAACTCTCATGTGCCCATTTGCTGTAAATTCCTCACTTACCCCTATCCAGGCAGCCACTGATCTGCTTTTGCTGTTGTTGCTGTTAAGCACCATCGATTCGGTTCCGACCTATAGCCACTCTGTATTTCCGAGGAGTCACTAGTGTGCTTGAACCACCGACCTTGCGATTCAAACAGACTTTGCAGTCCAGCGCATTAACCCATAGCACCACGCCAGGGTCACTATAGATTTGTTTCCCCTCTGGAGTTTCATATCAATAGAATCATGCAGTCTTTTGTATCTGACATCTTTCCCACAGCATAATAGTTTGGAGATCCATCCATGTTGTTGCCTTTATCAAGGTGTGTTCCTTTTTCCTGCTGAGTAGTATTCTATTTGTATTTATACTTATTATTCAGTTTTAATGAGAAAAGGAAACTTCAATGACAGTGGGACTGGCATATTATCATGTTGTCAGTTTCAATTTTCAATAGCAATTTCCAAGTTAACCCACTGCTCAGACATGAAAGATCTGAGTATGTAACCATAGGTATATTGTTTTAACTTGTTAGCCTTCCTAATTTAGAAAACAGAATAGTTGATTCTCTAATTCCATAGCTCTTAAATGTTCTGATAGCAACATAGATAAAATAGGGAGCCCTTATAATTTGGAGTACATCTGTTTCACTTCCTTAAGTGATACTGGGATGTGAATGGGGGAGACATAGTAGTCTATGAAGGTAAAAAAGGAAGAGAGCTTGCAAGACATTCTCCTGCTGGCTGGTCTGTATGTGGTGTGGCATCCTGCCAAGTGGAAGGATTAATTTGGGAGGTAGGTTACTGACCAAATGCAGACCTATCTCTTTGAGCAAATCTAATTTTGTTTAACCAGGACTAATTTGTTTTGCTTGGCTAAGAAAAAGTGCCCAGCCGTTTATAAATATTCTTGTGAACCTCAAACGGCTTCTTTTCTAGCTAATTTTAATCAAAAGAAATTGAAGCTAAAATTGGAATCAGCAATATATTCCAATAAAGAATTTTAAGACATAGATATTTGATATCAAATCTCTTTTAAATTAAGCTCTTTGTAAACTGACTTAAGAATAGTGAAAATTGTGTACTTTATAATAAATATGTAAATTCTAAGAGATAGATGACAACAGTCCCTTAGTCAAAAATAAAAATAAAAAAGAACCATTTTTACCCCAGAAATAATAGAAATAATGCATGTTCTCTATAAAAGTCAGAAAACTCCATAAATTAGCAAGAGAGAAATGAATGGAAGGAGAGTATTTTGTGGATGTTTTCACTGTCGGTGATGCAGAAACTTGAGAAAATATTCTGTTGGACTCTCATGAGGATGAAGTAATCAAAGAAAATGAAAATTCCTAATGATTTCTACACTTTGAAATAGTCACAACTAGATGTTTTACACACAGTCTTTAAGATTTTATGTGTGTCTACACATAAATTCAAAGGAAAATGAGTGTATTCTTTCCTATTTATCAAAACCTTTACCTCCTGAGTGAACTTTTACTATCTGGGTAAATGACTTGCTGTGCTGCCTAGCAGAAACAAGTCAGTTGACTGCCAAACAAATAATAGAAACAGGTGGGGATGGTGTAGACTAACGTAACCAATGTTGGCCATCCAGGTGTGTTTTTCCTGCTCTTGGATTTTAATTTTCTTTTTATCTTAAATTCCTTACAGATTTTGACTACTGGGATTATGTTGTTCCTGAACCCAACCTCAGTGAGGTGATATTTGAGGAGACAACTTGCCAGAGTTTGGTTAAAATGCTGGAAAACTGTCTGTCCAAATCAAAGCAAACCAAACTTGGTTGCTCAAAGGTTCTTGTTCCTGAAAAACTGACCCAGAAAATTGCTCAAGATGTCCTGCGGCTTTGCTCCACTGAGCCCTGTGGCCTGAGAGGTTGTGTTATACACGTGAACTTGGAAATTGAAAATGTATGTAAAAAGCTGGATAAGATTGTGTGTGATTCTAGTGTGGTGCCTACTTTTGAGCTAACTCTGGTGTTTAAGCAGGAAAACTGCGCGTGGACTAGCTTCAGGGATTTTTTCTTTCGCAGAGCTCGTTTCTCATCTGGCCTCAGGAGAACTCTGATACTCAGCTCAGGATTTCGACTTGTTAAGAAGAGGCTTTACTCATTGATTGGAACAACAGTCATTGAAGAGTGTTAAAAGAAAAAACAATTAAAGACGTTTTATTACTGAGTAATAAAACTATACAGCTGCTCAGTTAAAGTCATTTGTAGTTTTCCCAGCCTTAACAAGAAACCCCAAATCTAGTTCATCTTTGTTTGGTATTTCATATTCACAGAAACCATAGGTAAAGGGCTGATTTTGTGACTTTTGAAAACGGGCACAAGACAGTGGGTATATTTTCTCCCTATAACAAATTTTCCTACAGAACAGAATACGGAAAGAAAAGCAGTCCACTTAAATTTTATATTTGACTTTGCTACGTTTTCCAGATAGTTTTGCTAATGGACTTATTGTTAAGTGCTGTTGAGTTGGATTTCCAAGGAGCAACTAGTGGGTTTGAACTGCAGCCTTCTGGTATGCAGTCCAGCATTTATCCTCAATACACCAAAATTGCCTTATTTAGAGTTTAACATGGTTTGTTTTCTTTAAGCTCTCAAAGCGATCTTTTAGATCACAAAATCTTACTAAATGATGTTTAGCCAAACTTTCGGAAGCCCACACTGCCAATTTCCTACCCTTAGTCAAATTTGAAGAGTTCTTATACAGTAGGACAGAATGAAGTAGGCAGTCTTAATTGAGTCAATTAAGACTCATACTGACCCTGTATAGAGTTTCTGAGGCTGTAAATCTTTACAGGAGCAGAACAACTCATCTTTCTCCTAAGGAACGGCTGGCAGATTCGAACTGCTGACTTTGTGGTTAGCAGCTCAATGTGTAACCCACTACACTTGCTACCAAGGACTCCTTAATTTAACTGTTGTTAAGAACCACCCAGTCCAGTCCTACTCATAGCAGCCTATATAGGGTTTCCAAGGCTGTCAGTCTTTGCAGAAGCCCTCATCTTTTTTCTGAATTTAACTCTTGTTGTTTAGTGCCGTCAAGCCAATTCCATAGTGACCTTGCATAGGGTTTCCGAGGAGTAGCTGGTGAGTTTGACCTTGTGGTTCAAACTGACCTAATGGTTGAGTGCTTCTCCTATGGCACCACACCAGGACTGTAGGCATGAGTAAATAAAAACATGTCACAAAGACAACAGAACTATTTTGTTGTTTGGTGAGGGGAGGCTGGTTTGTTTTATTTTGTTTTTATATCCTCCTTGTTCTTCTATTTTGAAGAAATTATAAAAACTCCACCTGCCATCTTAGTGACAATCAAAGTAAAACCCATTGCCATTGAATTAAGTCCAACTCATAGTGACACTAAAGGACAAGGTAGAACTGTCCCAGGGGTTTTGAAGCTATAAATCTTTGGACTGCTGTATCTTTTTCCACAGGAGCAGCTTGTGGGTTTGAACTGCACAGTATCACAGGCCTCCTCCTAATGACCACAGTATTGTTTTAAATGATGTTATGGTACAAAGTAAGCTGAGTTTTCCTACCTCTCAAGTATTCAAAGTTGTCTTTAAACTAGAAAAATTGAAAATGTTGAATGGATTTTTTGGAAAGTGTAGCTGATTACTCTTCCATATGTTGAATAAGAATGGGGAGGGGAAGGGACAGGACGTGAGTTCTCAGATCCAGTTCCATTATGATTCATTTAGTAATCCAGGTGAGTTGCAATATTGTTATTATTATTTAGTGCCCTCAAGGTGTTCTGACTCACAGCTACCCTGTTTAGGGGTTCCAAAGGAGTGGCTGGTGAGTTTGAACTGCCGATCTTGTGGTTCAAACTGACCTTATGATCGAGTGCTTACCCTACAGTAACACACCAGGACTCCTTATCCTCAGATGAGCCATCTCACCATATCTGTGTTATGTATGTCATCTCTGTCCTTTGCTGGGAACTGAGGTCTCTTTCCTTACCCTGACTCTTCAAAGAAGATAACTATACGCTACTACTTTCAAAGCTTTGGAGATCTGGTTTTCAGTACAGACTAGAGAGTAAGAATGTTGTCTAGACTGTAATGCACGTACCCAGCTTACCTCAGCCTTGGATACTGTCCCTAATAATAGATACCTTCCTTTTCTGTTCCAACTATCTGCTTTCTTTTCCATTTTTATTTTTGTAGTGTAATAGAGAATTTAGCCTCCACATGACAACTTTCAAAAACATATTTAGGTCTCCTGTCCCTAGTATTGTCACCACTTTACCCAAGGCTTTGATTGTAGACAAAAACAACTTCACACTGGTGTTACTCAAATGGAGATGTGATCCTGTACCTGATCCCATAAGTAATGTAAAGTTAGCGAATGTTCTAACCAATTGAACTCTTGAGTGGATAGTAGCTGAACTGTAGAGATTTGTGACAGAAAAAAGTCATCTTTCTATTGATTTACAGAATGTTTCTGTAGCTGATTTAGAGTCACCACCACTGTTGTGAAGCCTTCTCTGGCATGGATATGGTACCGTTGTCCTTTTGTCACTAACAATTGCCTTTGCCTCTCTTGTCTTTTATGCTTACATAATGGTGATGGCTTATGGACACACTTAAATTTAAATTCCTGTTAAAGGAAATAAAAGTTTGTCTATTTTGACAATAAAACATCATATATTTTTACTTCTCTTATCTGCTTTGTTTTTTCTAGAATTATACAATGATCACCCTAAAATATATGTGGGTCATGCATAAAGTATTGTTACTAAGATTCTAGTCCATACATGCACAAGGTTATTAAAAACATGTTTAAACATGTCTCTGTGATCAGTAGATAGTTGCAGACAAGTTTTCTCAGTAATCAGCAATAAATTTGTCTTAATCTTGTTAGGGTAGCTTCAAAAAGAAGGTCCAATCAAGACAATGACTTCTGATGGGTTTTGTTGAACCAGCTAAATTCAAGGTAGAAAGATAAGGTCAGAAGGTAACAGTTTTGGGGACTCAAAAATGGTAAGCTTGATAGATTTTCTTGAAGGAAAAAGACCAAGAAATTTTATCCATCATGACAATGTACCTACTCACTGAGCAAGGGTAGCAAGGGCTATCCTAGAATTTCACTAGGAAATGTTTCCCCCATCAACTCTACAGCACTAGTCTTTCTTTTTGCTCTCCAATTTCCTAGAACATTTAAAAGGAACACAATTTGAGTCCCTCACAGGTGCCAAAACTGCCATTTTGTCATGCTGTAAATCAACAAGCACAGAATTATTCGAGGAAAGGTAAGAGAGATGGAAACATCACCTTCATAAGTGCACAGATATAGAGGATATGTCAAGAAACAATTGTTTCACATTTTGATATTTTTGTGTCAAATATTTCTATGACAATACTTTTTGACTTAACTTTGACACACTTTTGGAGAAAATGACAAAACTATTGTCTTGTTTTTGACCAAAAAAGTTTGTGCATGTAGCATTTCAATAGTAATTATTGGATCCCTGACGTTTGTAATGAAAATGTTACACACACACACAAAGCAAGATCCCCCATGAGATGAATTCACAAAATAGTCCCAAAATGGATTCAAATATACCAATGATCATAAAGTTGACACAGGGACAGACAAATTTTGTTGTGTATTTAAGATCACTGTGAGTTACAGCCAACTAGACAGCAACAAACAATAACAACATGGATTGGGTGTGTTTATGTATCAAAAAAGACGTGTTCCCAATTTTTTAATTATAACAATTTTTATCGGGAGACTAATAATGTGAGTATTTGATAATCGCCCTAAGAAAAAATCATAAAGTTGTTTTTTTCTAGATTTCCCTATGACCAAACATAAACTTAACCAAATTGCAATATAAGGATGCATCTTCAATTTTGCCAACCTGTAGTTATGAGTTGGTTCTGACTCCTAGTGACCCATATGTACAACAGAAGGAAACACTGCCCAGTACTGCAACATCCTCACAATTATTACCTTTCAGTCCATTGTTGCCACGGTGTCAATCCATCTTCTTGAGGGTCTTCCTCTTTTTTCCTGACCTTCCACTCTACCAAGCATGATGTCCTTCTCCAGGTACTAGTTCTTCCAAACAACCTGGCCAAAGTATGAGAGACTAAGTCTCCCTATGCTTGCTTCCAAAGAACAGTCTGGCTGTACTAATTCCAAAACAGTTTATTTATTCTTCCTTCTAGCAGTCCATGATATATATTCAATACTCTTTGCCACCACCATAATTCAAATGCATTGATTCTTGTCTGGTTTTCCTTATTCACTGTCCAGTTTTCACATGCATATGAGGTGATTGAAAATACCTTGGAAAAACGTGCACTTTAGTCTTCAAAGTGAAGTCTTTGTTTCTATGAGCATTGCTTGTGGATCTACGTAAATGAAATCTTTGACAACTTTAATTTTTTCTCAGTTTATAGCAATGTTACTTATTGAGTCCATTGTTTTATTTTCTTTAAATGGAGGCTGTAATCTTTTATTTTCATTAGTAAGTATTTCAAGTCCTTGTCCCTTCAAGCAAGCAAAGTTGTGTCATCTGCACATTGTAGGTTTGTCAATAAAATCTATTTGAAGAACATTTCTAATTCCACAATTATTCATTTGATTTTTTTTTCATGTTTTCATCTATTCTGTCTACCCAAATGCATCTATTCTGTCTACCTTAACTCAGATTTTTTTGACTCATTGATAACTGAAATTTAATAAGTTTTGCTATATGCTAAGCATTCTTCTGGAGTCCTGGAGTAGTATAAACACTGGACTGATAACCACAAGGTTGGAAGTTCAAACTCACCAGCCACTGCTTAGTAGAAACCCCATACAGGGTCACTATGAGTTGGAACTGACTTAATGGCACTTCATAACAACAACAGACACTCTTGTAGGTGCTTTACAAACATAATCTCATATACTACTCACAGCAACCCTATGAAATGGGTACTATGACTATCTCCATTTTGTAGATGAAGGGGCAGACTCACAAAAGTTAAGTAACCTTCCTGAATTCTCTGTGTCATTACAAAAAGTCAGAGTTTAAAACTAAGCTGACTCCAGAGACTGTATTGTCAGTTCCATCCACCATACTATGTTGCCTCCAAATGTTCAAAACAGCACAGCGACACATTATTCATATCACAGAAGACT